TTTTTTTTTTTTAGTTTTTTTTTTAGACTAAAATACCCTCTTATGCAAGTGAGCAAATTTTTGGTTTGTGACAAATTTTCTTTTGCAGTACCACCACTGGCCAGCAGGGTCTCCAAAGAGAGGTTTCCATAAATATCCATTTTAAATTTGGCAACTTCAACAAGCCATTTCTGGAGCATTCTCTGCATTAACTGATTTATTTTTCTAGTGGTTACCTTATTATTATTTCTTTACGTTTAATTTCAAAAACATCTTTGTTAGCCGTATAGCTAACAGAGACAACGTTAGGCTGGTTTTATGTCATGTGCTGCTAGAGATGGGGATAGATGCTAATTCCTGGTTCCAAAAACTACAGAATGACAGATTGTTGTTTTTCCGCGGAGTCTGGGCTTCAGAACCGTGGAACGTGGCCGATCCTTGAGCGCAAATCTGAACTTTTCCCCTCTGTTTTGAACAGATATTCTGATTTTAGATAAAAAGTGACAGCCCGACTGTTCCCGATTATACTCAGTCTCTGTCTGAAATGATTGATTTAGCATTAGCATGAGGAAAATATTATCTTTGTATCTGTATGCATGATTTAAAGTCGAGGGAATTAAACCGACGAAGCTTCCTCTTCAACCATGGAACAGATACAGAGCCGTTTTCCCAGTCATTCCGTGGATGTGTGTGTGTGTGTGTGTGTAGACGTTTGCTTTAAGGCGGTGTTTGTTGGACATAAAAATGCACATGATGATTTTTTTCTGTTGTCTTTTACGCGTCGCCTCCTGGGATTTGAGTGTGTGGCTTTTTTGGACACTTTAATGTGTTATCTGACAGTATATCAACAATGTTATCCTACTGACTGTTATGGTTCATTACTTTATAGTTTTATCCAAATTCCGAAATGTTATGTATATATATATATATATATGTTTTATGGTGGAAGAAGTTGACATTTGTCTGTAAACGTGTTATCACGTCGTCACACGCTGATTCAAGATGTGAACAAACTGCCTTTTCATTATGTTTATATGGAGTTTGACGTCCCCTCGTCTCCTTTTTCCTTCTTCTCAGGTGTAGCCGAGGCCAGCCATGTCCATAACAAGTAAAGGGTCAGGAAGGAGGACTTGGGTCAGCGGACCCTGTGTGTGTTTTTACCGGTGGAAGACATTCTTCTACCTCTGCACTGTCCTGGTGGCCGCTCTGTCCACGACCGTCCGTGGAGCCCTGGAGCTCCAGCTGGACGAGGAGCAGCCGGCAGGAACCATAGTCGGGGACATCAGCGCAGGTTTACCCCCTGAAGAAACCGCAAGTCTCTACTTTATCTCCGACCACGAAGGCACCGGTGTTGGCAGTGACCTCACCATCGACGAGACCACGGGCATCATCACCACTGCGCGCCGCCTGGACCGCGAGCAGAGGGACCACTACAGCTTCATCGCCGTGACCATGACAGGAGTCACGATCGAGGTGTCCATTACCGTCAACGACATAAACGACCACGCGCCTGTCTTCCCTAAAAAGAAGGCGGTTCTCAAGATTCCTGAGCACACAGCGGTGGGAACCAGATTTTCTCTGGATCCGGCCACCGATGCAGACAAGGACCAGCTGACCACACAAGGCTACGCTATCAGAGAGGGCAACGTGGGTCAGGCTTTCAGACTGGACACCAAGAGAGCAGCCAACAAGGTGTTGTACCTGGACCTGGTGGTCAACGGGTTGCTGGACAGAGAGAAACGTTCCTCCTACTCCCTCGTTGTGGAGGCGTTCGATGGAGGGTCGCCTAAGAAAATGGGATCCATGAACCTGGATGTGATCGTGACCGACATCAATGATCATGCACCGGTGTTCAACCAGAGTCGATACCACGCCATCATCTCTGAAAGTCTTCCACAAGGAAGTGGCATACTGCAGGTTAGTCTGGCATGAAAGTCGTACCGCGATCATGGGGTCTGTGAAGGTCCGTGTGTTGGTCACTCCAGATTCGTTGTCACTCTCTGTCCTTCCTGTGTTCAAAGGTGTTCGCGACAGATGAAGATGAGGGCGACAACGGTCTTGTGCTTTATGAGATCAACCGGCGTCAGAGTGATCCCGAACGCTACTTTGTCATCGACATTAAATCAGGGGTCATCACTCTGAATAGACCCCTGGACTATGAGCTAAAGAGGGTCCATGAACTGGTGGTCCAGGCCCGGGACAATGCCAGCCATCCTGAGGTAACTGTACTAAAATGTGACTTTATTTTCTATTAGAACTGCCTGCAGCTAAAAGATGACTGAGATCAACGATATCTCTTTATATCTGTTTATATAAAGATGACTGAGATCAACGATATCTCTGTTTATACTTTTTCCCAGGTGACCAATGCCTTCGTGACCATCCACGTCCGTGACTACAATGACAATCAGCCCACCATGACCATCATCTTCCTCAGCGAAGACGGATCTCCTAGAATCTCAGAGGGAGCCCAGCCGGGTCAGTACGTAGCGCGGATATCTGTCACCGACCCAGATTATGGAGAGTACGCCAACGTGAATGTGTCCCTAGAGGGGGGTGATGGGAAGTTCGCTCTGACGACCAAGGACAGCATCATTTACCTGATATACGTGGACCAGGTCCTGGACAGAGAAGAACGGGATTCCTATGACCTGAGGGTGATGGCCACAGACTCTGGAACGCCGCCGCTCAGGGCGGAGTCATCGTTCACCATCCAGGTCATGGACGTCAACGATAACCCTCCTCTGTTCGACCAGCAGACCTACAGACAGACCATCCCCGAGGTTGTATATCCTGGATCCTTTGTTCTTCAGGTCACCGCACGAGACAAGGACCAGGGCCCGAACGGGGACATCAGATACAGCATCCTCAAGGGCAAAAACTCTGATTGGTTTTCTATCGATCAACAAACGGGAATCATCACTACTGCTGCCGCCCTTGATTTCGAATCCGAGCCGGCTCCGAGCGTGACTGTTATTGCGATGGATAACGGCCGCCCTGCTCTGTCGTCCACCGCCAAGGTAGACATCGTGTTGCAGGATGTTAACGACAACACGCCGGTGTTCTCCAGCAGCTCCTACAACGCATCCATCAAGGAGAACACGCCGGCAGGGACCTGTTTCCTGGAGGTAGGAGAACCCCCCCCCCCCCCCCCCCCTCCCCCCCCCCCCCCCCCTCCCCCCCCCCCCCCCCCTCCCCCCCCCCCCCCCCCTCCCCCCCCCCCCCCCCCTCCCCCCCCCCCCCCCCCCTCCCCCCCCCCCCCCCCCTCCCCCCCCCCCCCCCCCTCCCCCCCCCCCCCCCCCCTCCCCCCCCCCCCCCCCCTCCCCCCCCCCCCCCCCCTCCCCCCCCCCCCCCCCCTCCCCCCCCCCCCCCCCCTCCCCCCCCCCCCCCCCCTCCCCCCCCCCCCCCCCCTCCCCCCCCCCCCCCCCCTCCCCCCCCCCCCCCCCCCTCCCCCCCCCCCCCCCCCTCCCCCCCCCCCCCCCCCTCCCCCCCCCCCCCCCCCCTCCCCCCCCCCCCCCCCCTCCCCCCCCCCCCCCCCCCTCCCCCCCCCCCCCCCCCTCCCCCCCCCCCCCCCCCTCCCCCCCCCCCCCCCCCCTCCCCCCCCCCCCCCCCCCCCCCTCCCCCCCCCCCCCCCCCCCTCCCCCCCCCCCCCCCCCTCCCCCCCCCCCCCCCCCCCCCCTCCCCCCCCCCCCCCCCCTCCCCCCCCCCCCCCCCCTCCCCCCCCCCCCCCCCCTCCCCCCCCCCCCCCCCCCCCTCCCCCCCCCCCCCCCCCTCCCCCCCCCCCCCCCCCCCCCTCCCCCCCCCCCCCCCCCTCTCTCCCCCCTTTCCTTCCCCTTTTACTTCATTAATAGCTCCTTCTACACTTGGCTCGTCTTTGTGTTTGCACAGTCGCCGCTGTGAGTCGGTCTCGTGCTGCTCAGTGCTGTGTTGTGCGTTTGCTACTACGCTGTTGTTCTACCTGTCGAACCAGAGCCAAGAATTCCCACAGCCTCGTGTCTTCCTCTCCACTGAAGGCCATATGTAGAGGACTCTGATTTATAGGGTCCATCTCTCCCCCGTCAGGCTCATTCCTGATGTCAAAACTGCTCTGAATGTCTTTTTTTGAAAATGATGGTGTGGCTGGCAGCTCCGCTTGGCAACATGATGTGCTTCCTTCAAGAACAGAAGGGAAACACTTGTACATTTCAAAAGGTAGATGGAATTCTGGATGTTTGGGAAAGCCAGAGAGGTGGACTGAGCCTAAAGGTCTTCTCCGTCTTTGAAGTTAATGTTTAAAGGCTGATATAGATGTGTCTGGTTTTTACAAATCTACTAAATTGTTCATTGTGCTCCTCTCCCTCCATGGTCTCCGTGGGCCGAGCCCTCGGTGTCAGACCACCGTCTCCTACTAAATTGTTCATTGTGCTCCTCTCTCTCCATGGTCCACTTTTATCTTGACTCTAACATCTCTTCAGGTCTTGGTATCGTGCCTGCGTTCAGAACCCAGTGTTCTCCGGCGGGAAGCTTCACTGCACTGTGGTGTCGGGGAGGTTTTCTGTGTCCAATCAGTCAAAGAACAAAGCAGCAGCCGTTTTTAAATTAAAAAGCCCTGAGCCTCCTACCTATGCCAACCTGAAGTGGGAGGAGATAAATATCAGAGTTTACATTCTTCCAGGTCCATTTAATGGAAATTGGGAGAGGATGGATGGTTGCTGTTCTGTTGAAACAGCTCCTTTGGGAAAGGTGAGGGAGTAAGAAAAGGGAAAGGATGTCGAGGAGGGAACGAGGGGAAACAAGTTTGACTGAGTCGTGGAATGAGAAGGAGAAGAAGAAAGTAAGATCATAGGCCTGATTTATTATTGATTTATTATACCTTTTCTACAGGCGTAGCCCGTCTGTTGCGGGATAATTGAACCCTGTCATTTCCTGCTAATTAGGCTGTTCCATTGAATTATTAGATCCCCCATCAAACCAAATATCTGCCCTTCCAGAATACCTTGATTCCAGTTGTTTTAGCAGTTGTAATCAAAGGTTAGCTGTGTTTCTAACAGGAGCAGGCAGTTTTTCTGGCTCCGGGTGCAGGCGGCGTCGTCCGGTGCCAGACATCACGGGTGGTTTTGCAGCAAACCAGAGAGAGAATAAAAGCCTGAGTTGCTCATTTCGGCACGTTTCTAAATAACAACTCCCCAGGCTGATGTCTGTCCAACAAGAAATGTGTGATTTGCAGCCTAAATAACGCTTTGTTTTGTATCACTGACATGTGTGGGCTGTCAGTTAGGAGAGGAAACACACATCTGTGCACGTGCACTGGGGTTTTTTTTGGGGGGAGGGGGGGTGTTTGTTAACCCTACAAATATATCTCTTCTTGACTCGTTAACTAAAACTTTAACCTGAAATCTCTCTACAGGAGAGGGATCTTAGAATTTACTTTAACAGTTTGTTGAAACCTATAAAAAGCTAAACTGCATTTCACTACCAACTGAATAAATAATTCATAATAATAACATGTTCATTTTGCGAAAAACGTCTTTAGTACGCAACTCAACTCTCCCTTGTGGAGAGCCCTTGTTAAACACCCTGGCTCTGCTGCCAAAATCTGCTTTTTCTCAGTCCATTCCTCCGACTTATCGCTCCCTCTCATTGTTTTCTCCCTCTTCAGTTACTGCATGTGTGCGCACCATCACTGTGTACACTCTCACTGCTGCGGTCGTGCTGTGTAGGAACCTTCTTATCAGTGGCTCCGTTATAGTCATCTGTAATGTGCGGCTGTGTTTATGCAGTCCTGACACAAAGGAGTTATTTATTTCTAGGTTTCTCCTGCCTTCTTCCTCTTCCCTTAAAGGATTTCCCAGGCAGCGGAGGTTACGGCGCCCCTGTGTGTTTGTGTGCATGCGCGTTCGTATGATTCAGGTTCATATCCTGACGTGCAAAAGGTCATGAGAACAGAGAGTAGTAAAGACGGTCTTTAGAGCATGTGAAATTGACAGATGTGTAATTATGTGCAGCTAAAAGAGTTCACGCTGATGATTCCATTAGTTCCAGATATTTTCATCTTGTTTTTTTTTTTTGTGGTCGGTGCCCTGCAGAGTTTTACGTCAAATCCGATGACACGCACTCGCAGTGTGACCCGACTGTGTCCGCCGCTGATCTTACAAACCCTGACACCTGTGTTACAGGATGTTTCTCCACTGCAGCAGGATGAGCTGCACGACAGAGAGACATCAAACTGAATCAGATCAGATAATGAGACGACCCAATAAGGTCGCAAAGGTTCCACTGGTAGATCATGAGCAAAAAAAAAATATATATATATATTTATATATGTATATATATTTTTATATATATGTATATATGTATTCACAGTTGTATTTATATATTTATATAAGAATATATATATTTCTATTGCCTGTGTAGTAGTGACCATATATTGTAAGAATCAAATCTCATTTGGTCACAGAGCTTCATATATTCAGTCAATATATCAACATATGTTGCATTTATAAAGCATGTTCAGTTCATATTAGTAAATATATATTTATCATTTTCAGTTTAGCTGGATCACTCTAGACTGGTCATTTGAACAGTAGCTCCCGAAACCAAAAAAGTGTAGACGCCCCTGATCCAGTCGGTGTCACAACCGTGAGAACCGAATCCAGAACGACACGACAGAACCCAGAGTACGTGGTCGTATTTCATACGTCGGTGCGTCTCTCCGCTTGTGTCACATCCCTGAAACCTCTGTGAGCAGGTGAGGCGTCTCCCCTGTGATGTTCAACATGTGGTTTCCTGGTCAGGCGTGCTAGGCCACACTCAATCACATCCACAGACACGCACGTGCGCTCAGCTGGGAGACGCACAGGTGGAGAACGGCTTGGTCCTCCAGCGCTGTAATGGTAAAGCAAGGTCCTTTGGCCGGGCATCAGTTTAATGCTGTGCTTTACATACAAACAGCTAATGAAAAATAAATAAGGTGAAACACGAGGAAGACCTGGAAGAGAGACTCTGGATGTCCGCAGCAGTGGAGAGAGCTTGTTAAGGAAGGGAATATGATTTTTGTATGGATGCAGTGGAAAAATGAAGACATTTATTGTGTGGTTTTCATTCACATAGAGTCAAATAAAAAACCTCGTGAGTTGACTGGCAGACTGTGGTTCAGGAGAATCAGAAATAGAAACAGTGCCTCTGCAGGGGAGCGGGGGAAACAGTCGATTCAGACGTAAACGTTGATTGCCGCTGGAAAATATCCCAGTCAAACAAGCCGGGGGAAAATAAATGTTTTATGCAGTGTGTCCATCAAATCAGTGCAGTGCTCGCTAACACTTCCCAAAAGTCAATGGAAATGTCATGGAATTGTTCTATTTTCAAATGTGGCTCCAGGCCCAACTGTGGGTCACCAGGACGTTACGATCTGCCAGTTGAGCTGAAGTGAAAATATTTATTCTGCAGTGATTTCTGGAACTAACAGGGGGAAATT